AAAATATATTTTCAACTTATAATAAACACATCAAATTGAAAAATCATTAGACAAATAACTAAGTTGAAGGCTGTATTTATCATGTACAACATTGTTTGAAATATATAGACTGTAAAATTGCTAAGTCAAGCTAATTAATATTTGTACTAACTCACTTTTTTGTGTTGTGAGAACCCTTAATATTTACTTCCTTGGCAAATCTCAAGTATGCAACATATTGTTATTAACTATAGTCACCATGTTGTACTATAGATCTCTTTATTTCTCCTACCTAACTGAAGTTTTATATCTTTTGACCAACATTTCCCAATCCCCAGCCCTTAGCCTCTGGTAACCACCATTCTACTCTCTGCTTCTATGAGTTCAACTTTTTAAGATCCCACATATAAGTGGAATAGAGAAAGGGATTAAAAGAAACAAAGATTAAAAATCTTACGAGAAACATGTAACAAACATCAAAGTAAAAAATATGTACAGTTAGTCATGAGTTTTTGCTACACAAATAGCTTAGTCACTAGAAAATTCAGCACAGCTAATACATTAACATACATTAATATCATATTTTCTTGTAAAAAAAGAATCCAGGTAATAATCCTGACAGAGGTCAATGCATTAAAAATTAAAACAAGTAAAAGTTAAGAAAACTATAAAAAATCCCTCTAAAATAACAAAATTACGTGACAATTCCTAATCTCAAAAATCAAAGGAAACACAGTAAGATGTGTTTAGCATCTACACAATGGCAGCTGCTAAATCAACAGCTGAAGTTTCTCTATGACATGCAATATTCTTTCAATTATATCACACAATTTTCCTTTTAAAAGTTCCATGGTATATATGTTAATATATCATGCAAAGAAACCAAGATATATTTTTACATTGCAAAAAGAATGAGTAAAGAATATCCTGTATCATAAATTTGATATCTAAAGCTGATATGATAAAGATTAAATATTCCATTGGTTATTCAGTTCGCCTTCTTAGAATTTAGTAGGAATTTAGCAAGATAATTTGAACAGTCTTAAGTCTGTTTTTAAAAACTAATAAGGAGAGTATACACAGATGTCACCTTTTATTCTTCATGAATCCTTTTAGTAAGCAGAGGTACTCAAACATAATTTTATTATCAAATCTATTCAAATAATAACTACTTAATTAATATCTATTGAAGTAACTTAAAATTTACCATCTGGAATTACGTTTTAACTTTCCTCTCTTCTAGCCCTCTCATGAAAATGGGGTCTCAGAAGAAAGAATAATCACTAAAGGTTTCACTAAGTGTTGCAGATAGGGAAGATATAAAATGTTACATTTGTGTATTTATTCAACAATGACATAGAATATTGCGTAGATACAAGCTTTCGGTTTTCTTCAGCCTTCATTTATTTTAAAAACAGAATCTTTCAAATAATATTTGATGATGGGGAACATTCTTCTATTCTAAGACTTCTTTGAATCATTGCCCTGTAAGTATTTTGGACCAAAACCCCCTAAGGATTAGGGAAACAGAAACAATAAAAATAAGCAAAAATAAAATGCTTCTCAGACACTCACTGAAGATGACTAAAAGTCACATACTATTGTTTTCCTTAAGAGATTCTTTACGATATTTATCAAGAATATTTTTCCCCATAAATAGCTTGCTACCATAAATGATTTTTTCCCATAAAAATTCAGTTAGTGGTTTCTTACATTAGCATAATATATATGTAATATACATGTATATTAGGTTATGCATTAGTAAAGTTATACTATCTACTACAAATTTGTACTCACAATACATTGAAAAAATTTTATAAAAGCTATGAGTATACGCCTGATTTTCAAAAGTCCAAATCATGACATTACAAAGACTCTAAATATAGCTGAATATTTTAGATGTCTCCAGAATTGCTCAGTAGTACACTAAGCATAGCTGAACTTAGTGTTAAATTTTATTTTACTTTTAATGGACAGAACTGTACATATTTAAAGGGTACAGTGTGATGTTTTGATACATATATACATTATATAATGATCAAATCAGGATAATTGGCATATCTATCACCTGAAACACTTCCAGTATTTCTTTCATTCTGAAATACTTATTTTCAAGGAGGATAAACCTAATCAAAGTAAGTATTTGACACTGCTAAATTTAGTAGCACAGACTAAGTAACACAGAAATTCCAAGGAGGGGGGGGAAAAATAGAAAAATGTGGAAGTTTCACGGGAGATGTTAAAGAGTCTTTCACTCTTTAAAGAATGACTAGAATTTAGTTAGGGAGGGGGAAACGCACTCCAGAAAAATCACCATCAAAAAATAAAATAACAAAAGTCAGGAAAGGCCAAAGGACAATGAGCAAAAAAGCACTCCCTTGGGTAGAAAGTAAAGCCTAGAGCAGAAGTAATAGAATCAGAATTATTGAGTTATTGATGAGCTGTGAAAGTAATTTAGCTGAGAAACTCAAAGTTTCTATAATGAATTAACACCAAAATAAGTTTGAGTGTAGGATGGTCACAGTGTAAACTAGAGGGGGAAAATTCCAGGATGCCAGTTAAGACACTGCACCCAGAGACTAGGGAACTGAAGGTGGCAGAAAAAGACGTGGTCTACAAAAACAAGTAAATGACTGTAAGGCTTTTAGATCACACAGCTTAGAAAATGGTGGCATCCTTTCTGAGCTAAGGGCTAGGTTAATTTATATGGGAAACAATGAATTAATTTTAGGCATATTATGCCTAAAATAATGCTGAGATGCCCAAGAGGAAAGTCTGATACACAAACTCAGATTCAAATGTCTAAAACTGCCAAAGTTTAATACTGTAAATAAAGAAAATAATATACTGAAGAACATAAGACAGCAAGTCACCTATCTCACTGGATGCATTGTTTATCTCTGAAATCGATTTCCAATCTTCAGACTGCAAAGAGCCATGGACTAGAAACAGTAGGCCCAAATTCTAGTTCTGGCTCAGTAACTCACGGTATATAGATGAAACCATAACACTGTTTGGGCCTTGACTTTAAGACAAGGATATAGAACTAAGAAAGATTATTTAATTATCACATTCTGTGATTTCATATGCTTCCAATAAGATTAAAGACAGAGTATTTACTCACACCTAAACAGAAAAAAAATTACATCTACACAGAACTATAAGATATATCCATAAATGGTCTTGATTCAATCAATATTTGCCCCCCTTCATTTTTAAAAAAGAACTGACTAAAAGTATTGTTATGCCACATCCATAACTGTTTAGTAGTATGTTAAAAACTTAAATTTACATCATTCTTTTCAGTTTACAAAAATATTTTTAAACAAATGATTTCATTTAATCCTCCAAAAACCCTATGAGCAAGACAAATATTACCATCACCATTTTACCGATGAGTAAAAAGATTCAGAAAAGTTCAGAACACTGTCCAACGTCATGCAGTTAGTAAGTGAAGAGCCAGGGCTCAAACTCAGGTAAAATTCCTAATCATGGCCCTTTCTATTAGGCTGCCAGAGTTGTCAAATCAAAATGCACAGTATCTCTAAGGAAAACAAAGTAAATAGAAAGAATAAAACAAAGAAAAGGAATGGAGTACATGGAAATATAGTGGGAGGCAAGTATTAAAATGCTGATGCAAAAGTAAAAAAAGAAAAAGATTTTTCTTTTTCAGCAAATGGAAAGCCAAAAGGTAGGAAAAGATACAGATACTATTAAGAAGCAAGAGTTTAGAACTATGAAAAAAATTAAAAATTAAGATGCCACCTGAAAACATTTATGAAGCCAAGACAAACACATCATGCTATTCTTACCTTTTCAGTTGCTGAAACAGATGGCTTTGATACAAAACCCAACCTGTCCTTCACAGATAACTTAGTTACATTCTAAAAAAATTAAAATGGACATATTCAGTGTTTCCCCAAACATACAAAAGTCTGTTGGGATCTTGAACATTCTGATTCTACTAATATACACAGAGTCTATGAGTATACCAATACTAACCATGAAAATTTGGTCCTTCTTAAAAGAAAGAGACAGAAAGAAAGTACGTGGGAAAACAAAAATAAACAGTATGTAATATTACTCAATCATGAAAAATGATGTAAACTAAGAGGTCTGAGCAAGGTGGTTGCCAAAGTCCCTGCCACTGACATAGAATAAATTAGTAGAACATCTCAAGTTTTAGAGATTAAAATATATGCCCACTTACTGAGCTTAAAAATAGTGCCAACTTCTTCTAAAGTATGTTTATTTTATATCCAAATATACTGTATTTAGTGATAATTTGGCATGTCAGGAGTAGAAATTTTTAAAATAACTAATAATTTATCAATTGACATTCTGCATGTCCTTGCAGAAATTCAACATCTTACTCCTTAGGAATTATTTAAGAAGACTACATTAATAAGGTGGCATCCATTAGCTAAGCAGGATACTACATCCTAACTATTTTACATAGCAAATGCTGAAACATCGGGAGACAAAGGAAAGCTAAGTTTCAGAGACTGAGAGTGTAGAAAAAAGAAACTGCCACTCAAGTGTGGAAGGAAGTGGGAAGGTGATATATGGAGAAAAGAATCCCAGAGTCAGGAATAAGTGATGCCAAGTTCTGAGAGAGTGGTCTAAATACTTAAAACAGTATAATATCAAGCATGCTTAACTTGATGGTTTAAGCCTTCCCTTCCCATAAGCTTTTAGTTCAGTCTACTACACAATTATCTCCAGAACAGAATTCTAATTACATAAAAAGATGATGAAAAAAATAAGATTTAATGTACTCAACTGCACCCTCCATGCTGAAACGTATCTCCTCCACAAAGTGAGAAATAAATCTTTCTCATAAATATTAACTGGAGAGAAAAATTTAAGATTCAAATACTACAGGAAAAGTAGAGACTGAGAAAATGTTATGGTAATGGTAAAAATTTTTTTAAAACTTATAGGTGGGGTTCAAGTATGTAAAGACTGTCATATTCCTATGTAAAATATATACAATTAACTGTAATTCAAATCACCAAGAGAAACTAAATTACTGAAAACTTATTATGTGACAAGCACAATCATAAGACCTTCGCTTTACCTGAGGAAGGTCTGAAGTGGCACTCTGGGCTTCTGCAGGTTCAATAGTACTTGAAGGTACTGGACCCAGTCGCTCTTTGACTGACTGCTTCACAACAGGCAAAATAGGCTGCTGGACTAAAGGCTGCATTACCTCAGAACAAGAAAAAAATGTTAAACAAGTTGATTCGTTCAAGAGGATGGAAAGTAACCTGTGTTATTTTGTCACTAAATCGCCCATGCAGAGAAAGTTTTTAAAATGCAGCTTATAGTCAAAATCTAACTAACTGCCTTCCAATTTCATTCGCACATACATAAAAATGTTTTCTTCGCATAAAGTAACTCATTTGCTGGGAAAAATTGAAGTCCACCTTTCACTATCTTCTGTTTTAGCAATCAAAACCCAAATTGCTATAACACACCTCTATAAATGCTCTAACATGACATACTGGTTGATTCACTGTTGGGTGTTGGGACAGAAAGCAAGGAGAAAGAGGGAAGGGAAATGAAGAGAGAATTTCCAAGATGAACCTATACTCTAAATTTTTGGAATATATATAGCTATCATTTACTGAGTACCTCCTATATTCCAGGGACTATTCTATATGCTTTATACACATCATGCTGTCATTCTCTCAACTAGCAATGGCCATCACAATTAAAGGAGAGAACAGGTCAGATAGGCTGAGTAACTTTTTCAAGTCTATACAGGTAACAGAAGCTAAAGAATCAAGATCTGAACTCAAGCCTACCTGATTCCAATGCCTCTACTTGTAAACACTCTGCTAAGAGCTTTCTAAGAAACGCACTTACTTTCACACAAATTTATCTCTTACCTTTGGAGCAGTAGTTTGTAACTGCTGAGTGCTTCCTTCTCTGTGCCAATAAACCTTAATAAAGCGATTGTTTAATACTGCTTCCGTACTTGATATTGCTTTCTTTGCTTCTTCATATGTTGCAAATTGGATAAGGGCACCTTCAGGATCACCATTATAAGCAACCTAAGATTTAAAATATTAAGAACAGTGAATTTCCAAAGGAATCTGTTGCTTCATAGAGTAAAATTCCTCAAGAAGTGAAATACTGGTCCTTTCAAGTAGGAGCCTATATTTATACTTCCTTGTATCTAGAGTAGTAGACCATAGTCTACTTTTACTCCAGAAGAAATAGTAACCAAGAATTGTTCACAGCATAAAAGGAGTTCCTCTATATAACAGGAAAGAAAGCTGACTGCATAAATGTTATATATAGGCATTCAAAGTGTTTCTCTTTTTATCCCCAATTTTAATAGTGACTATGAGAAACAATCTCTATTGTCAATAAATGACATGAATCCAGAGAGTCTGGAGAAGGCAGTAAACTACTCTGCAAGGGTTTATCTCTATCTAACAAGAAATTACAGAAAAATCCATTTGAACAATTGCCCAAATTTGTAATTCTCACAAGAAAATTTAAGAACGAAAAAAGAGCCGGGCGCGGTGGCTCAAGCCTGTAATCCCAGCACTTTGGGAGGCCGAGGCGGGTGGATCACAAGGTCAAGAGATCAAGACCATCCTGGTCAACATGGTGAAACCCCGTCTCTA